AGAATGTCACGGCTTTAAGTTAAAAAAAAATATTTTGGGTTATGAATGAACGTTAGTCGTGATTATTCAAGGGAGAGAATTTATTACAACAGTTATGTCACATGTAATTAATAGTTCCACCATTCGGGACTGCGATCATTTGCGATCTTACGGCGCCAAAAATGTACTGGGTTTCCGGAAAACGTGAAGAAAACCGAGAAAATGGCCCATAAAATCACAAAAGGCCTACCTTATCAGTAATATATGCGACCATATTGCGTTCCCAAGTCAACCTTTTCATAAAATCTGGTTGCATTTCACTTTTATTGCGTTCACGGAGATGTTACACCGCTGGTCTAAAGACATTTTCGAGTCTGTGGCGATCTCAAGAGTGATATCTAAAGCTGTCTACGGGCTAATACCACGCTTATGGCGACTCAGCTAATTTTCTGTCACCTTATCAGCCTAGTAAGGACGCATATTCTGTATGGTGGGCTATAATCAGCTATATCAGTATTATTTGAATATATAGCACATTTTGTCATTCATCAGCATCGTTCACACAATTGCTATTCCAGGGCACAAATCTACCTGCTAATTTCCACACAAGGTAAAAACAAACGAAGAGACTAGATAATCTACTCAGGTTTGAAATTTGGGTCGCTATGACACATTTTACCGGGTTACATTTAGCTTTACATCACTTGCGTCTGAAAAAATTGCTTAAAGAACAGAAAAAAAAACGATTGTCGGAATCTTTAATGTACAATATGCTGAATTTGACACAGAGATTTGAAAGAAAACTGTTTGAGAAGAAAGGAAAAAAGAAGAATAAACTGATTAGTAGAAAATGTATCGTTTTCCAAACCGAGAAATTCAATTATTTTCTCAGCTGAAATGGATGTCTTGAAGCTAAATCAAAGAAAATTGAATTGCGATCAATGCATGTTAGTTTTAAACATTTGCGATTTTTCCTTAAAGAGTTGTCTACAGAACTCATCACCTTTGGCAAATAGGTCGCAATTGCTTGCAGTCAGATTTGGTGGATGTTTGATATTATTACTTACATGTAGTTGTCGAAATAACAAGAATTGATGACCGCATCTGAACATTTCGCATGTGTTCTCGGTAAACCTAATGGAAAAATACATACTTGTTTTAATATATATGGCGATAAAAAGGTTCTTCGTTGATTTCAGTATTTTAACTACGTGTATTTGTGAGACTTATATTGTTGTTATCTAAATAACAAGAATTGATGACCGCATCTGAACATTCCGCTGGTTTTCCTGGATGGGAAAATACAATCTTGTTCCGATATTTGGTGATACAATGGTTCATCATCGATTGTAGTGTATTAACTGTGTATTTTCTCTAATAACAATGACCGCATTCGAACATCTGAAAATATACATACATCGTTAATCTAATATTTGTTAAAATATGTAGCAAGGAAATGATGATTTCTGGGATTTACCGATTTCCTCAATATCTTGTTGGATATTTCTATTTGAATATAGAGCTCCTTTCATTGCTCTTGAATTTAAACTTATAATTTCTCTTTTTCTATTTCTAATTTTCAGCATCAACGCCTTTGGATATTTTCATAAAAAGCAGTTTAAGAAATTTGATAAACTTCAGTAATTTCAAAAGTAATAAATTATAACTTGCTAATGTAGTGTCATTTTCATTAAAGTATCTTATATCAACTTTGTTTTTTTACCAAAACATAATTAGTAAAATGAGAAACGCAATTTTTCTTCATATGAATATGTGCATTGTCTAGCGTGAGGAGTGTAAGAAGGAAACGGTGGTGCCATGTTGCAGCGAGAATTTTGAAAATTTAGCACGCATTAATTTTCGCACTGTGTATGTGCCACATACGTAATACATGCATGAACATAGTACAAAATCGACGCAAACAATGTCGACGCGTGAACATAGTTTGAACTATGCACACAAAATACTTAACCTATACTTAAACAAGTAGTGCCATTGAATATCCATGTGTGTTACTGCGGCAAATTTTGTGGTCGTGCATTGTGAGTGCGCGAACAGGCCGCTCCGCTACAAAGCACCAAAATGGCATACCTTACCTCGACCTCTGCGCGGCATTGCAGAAATACAATTTGTGCAAGTGTCAGTGTGGCATGATAAACAATATATTGGTCGGCTTTTGAGACAAGAGTGTGTGTAGTATAAATTCACTAAATATATTGAAAATTGAGATCAATAGCTACCACGGTAACTCTGTTTTGTTATTCAAGTTTATATGTGGCCAGTTCGTGACTTTAAACTACACAGTGTTCAATATATTGAAGCACTTTGGAGTTAAAAATATGAAATGAGATCATTGTGGTGATTATGGCACTGTCTCGTCCAGTTCACTTACCTAGCTCAATTAGAAAATAGATCAGGAAGTAAGACGAATTCTCTGCTTATCTAATTTTCTCCTTTCCTTCTGATCTCATTCAGGGCGCATGTATTTCATCGCTGAAACTCCATTTTAGATCAAAATATTGGACACCCGAGTTAGAATTTCAAAGACAAGTTCTTGATAACGATACTTATCTATCTACTTGAATTAAATAGTTATTGATAATCAATATAATAATAAATAGTTAATTACTAGTTAGTATTATTATATATAATCTTGAGATGTTAGTACATTGTAAAAATTACTTCTTATCTCGGTTCCTCACTTCTTGTAATGATTTCTTGAGATTTTTGCCAATCTTGAACTCATTGAAATCAAATAAAAAATGTAGGTTGTCTTGTCATACTCTAACGGAGAGTTAGTAAAAATAATTCGGATTAGCTTTCAATATTTCTTAAAATTCCGTAAAATCTGTTTTTGATTAGCAAGTTTTTGGTGTACGCGAAATCAATAAACGCAATAGCTTATTTAGCACCAATTTTCTTTCCTTACATCGACCTCATGCCGAAGTAAGCGTATTTAGACGTGCACCACTTTTAAAATTATTTTCATACTCTTGTATAAGTGAAGAAACCCACGATACAAACTAGCTGTATCTGTATTTTAATTAGATTACCCTAATTAAGGATTGCATTTCATTATAAAATCTAATTTCAGATACCTGCAATTCTTGTATTACCGCTAATTAAAAATTAGTATTCATCACAAATTGAAGAACATAATTAACTTCATTTCTCATCAGATTTAAATTCGCCTTATATTCCGGGTTAGGTGTCATGTATATATTAATTGTGAGTGTAGTTCGGGAAGAGCCAGTTGTTAATTGAAATTATTGTAAAAGAAAAAACATTGCAGATAATCATGTGGGAGTCTGAAAACATCAGGCTTATTTCAATTTATTTCCCTAGAGACATTCATTTACATTAATCACGACTTAAATAACATAAATGAATAGACAGCTAAATAAAATATCAGAAAAATGAATAGATAGATAGATAAGATCGATAGACAGATAGATAGACAGGTATAGAAATCAGGCTAAACGATAACAACTGAATTATATTTTACTATAAATAAATATATCAATGGTAGTAATGGTAGATGTAGCACGAACTAAGCAGCAGGACACAGGTGAATGGATATTATGTATATAGTATGCTTTGCGGTCAGTGTAACATAGCTCAGTGTCATTTCACTTTACATAAAAAAAGAAGCCTTATTACAACCAGACAAATACATTTAAAGAGTTAATTGTACGATTTCAATTCGCCTTCATTAACGGTGTGTCCAGAGAAATTACGATGTCTGAGAAACCACAGAGTTTATTCATATAATTAATGGCAATTCAAAACCATCTAAACCTCTCATATAGACACCTTGATGTTCTATTATAAAAAGTTCAGTTGGACCTTATCTATCCACTAATGTTCAGAATGTCACCCAAGATACCATGTCATCGGGCCATATTAAATTGTATCAAACATAGTTTGGTATCATCTGATACACCTACAACCTCTAAGATAACACAACATGTCCGTTGTATAAAATCGCAAAGAGAACACGACCTGTCAGTATTGTACAATATGTAGTAGAACACAACCTGTCAGTATTGTACAATCTCTAGTAATATCAGTATTATAAAATCGCTTGTGGTACACAGACTTACTCTTGTAGATGTTCTACATCAAGTACAAGTATCTCGGAGATAACACAACCTGTCAGTATTGTACAATATGTAGTAATACACAACCTGTCAGTATTGTACAATCACTATTAATGCCAGTATTATAAAATCGCTTGTGGTACACAGACTTACTCTTGTAGATGTTCTACATCAAGTACAACTATTTCTAGGATAACACAACCTGTCAGTATTGTACAATATCTAGTAGAACACAACCTGTCAGTATTGTACAATCTCTAGTAATATCAGTATTATAAAATCTCTTGTTGTACACAGACTTACTCTTGTAGATGTTCTACATCAAGTACAAGTATCTCTAGGATAACACAACCTGTCAATATTGTACAATCTCTAGTAGAACACAATCTGTCAGTATTGTACAATTTCTAGTAATGTCAGTATTATAAAATCGCTTGTGGTACACAGACTTACTCTTGTAGATGTTCTACATCAAGTACAAGTATCTCTAGGATAACACAACCTGTCAGTATTGTACAATATGTAGTAATACACAACCTGTCAGTATTGTACAATCTCTATTAATGCCAGTATTATAAAATCGCTTGTGGTACACAGACTTACTCTTGTAGATGTTCTACATCAAGTACAACTATTTCTAGGATAACACAACCTGTCAGTATTGTACAATATGTAGTAGAACACAACCTGTCAGTATTGTACATTCTCTAGTAATATCAGTATTATAAAATCTCTTGTTGTACATAGACTTACTCTTGTAGTTGTTCTACATCAAGTACAAGTATCTCTAGGATAACACAACCTGTCAGTATTGTACAATCTCTAGTAGAACACAACCTGTCAGTATTGTACAATATCTAGCAGCACACAAGTTGCCAGTTTACAATCTCTAGTAATACCCAACCTGTCAGTATATTGTACAATCTCTAGTAATGTCAGTATTATAAAATCTCTAGTGGTACAAACTCTTGTAGATGTGCAACAAAGTACAACTACCAATTAATTTATATTTGCTTTATTTTTGAGGTCGTTAGGAAATACCAATGACAATTTTACTGTTTTATGTCATGTTTATGAATGAAAACACATTTCAAATAGATTTATTGAATTGAAATTTTTAAACTGTAACCTTTTAAGTATGCTATACATACATACATACATATTAAAATAGGATTCTCAAGGAAATAAATAACCAGGATGTAATGTTGTGGTGTGTGTGTTTAATATCAAGAATTTAACTGTCTGGAATTCAATAATTGTACTTATTTCAAACATCACGTCCAAACCTTGAATTAATACAAACCAGCCTATATGTAATACAATATTTTGCTGAATATCATCACGATCTGGGTCTTCATTATATCTATTCAAATTCGTGTCAGATCATCAATTTGATTAGAATTATATATAAAATTTACTCTGAGACATTTACGTATTTTATGCCCGTATTTGTTGAAATAAGTGAATTTGTTAGCATGTTTGGTTATTACTGCTAAGGGTTGTCTGGATTTGAATGCGTTTTGCGTCCTCTTAATTTTAATTTACGCTTTGATTACAAAGGTTGGCATGCAGTACAGTAAGGTATATATTTCCACATGCACTGTATTTTTCTAAGTATTTTTCACATTCCAGAGTGCATAGGAATACAGTAACAAAACCTGTTGATTTGTACATTTTGTTAAAATGATGCGAACATTTATTTTTTAAAAATTATTTTTTTTTAATTTATGTCCTTTCAATTTAAATGAAATGTTGTAGACATTATACTTAACAGAATGCATTATGGCTGCTGCTAATTTTCAAGCGACAATCTTTTTGAAAATGGAATTTAATGGGAAACTACTTAAAAAAGAATAAATTAGACAGAGATAGACCCACTGCAGTTATCGTGATATGAATACATTGGTCAAGGTGTTAAATTTATCATGAGTGCCTTCGGCAAATCATTCAATTTGGCACATTGCCTAATGTACATGTATTCAAATTTCCGTAAGTGGGTCTATCGTTCATTTCTTAATTGTTGAATAAGGTGAAAATTGTTACTATGTTATTAGATGAAGGTAAAGGGTTGTATAGAATATGAATGAGTTTCAAGTTCTAATACTCTTAGGCTTGCTGCACTATACCCCAACCATTGCCAAGGGTGTTCACGTCATTAAATATTATTCTGAAATCAAACAGGACCGCATCCGCGAAAAAGCATTTTGATTAAAAATTTGTGGTAAGTGGTAAATGTATAGGCCGACTGTTCTGAAAAAAAAAATCAGTTCGTAAAAAGTAATAGGAAATACATTTTATTTGATTGCCGATTTGGTTAGAAAAAAACTCGCTTCCACCCACGTTACCCTAAAACACATTAATGAAAGAAATCTGCTCAAGTTTCTGAAATCAATGTAATTGGGTTGTGCAATAATTATGTATGTTATCTTAAATGTTGTCGGGTGTTACAGAAAATTTGAAGTGGTTTTTAATCGTCTAATATGATAATATGGCCATCTGTTTGGCTCACACCGACAGGTGGTTTGAATTTAAACATACAAATCAATGAATATCATTCGATGAGTATTTGTTTTAATTTCACTTACACCAATATCAATATATGGAAATTGATTTGTATTTATTTTAATATTGTAAATAAACTACTCTAGACCCTAGATCATCTATATATTTTCTTCTTTCTACTTAGTGTAGTCGGTTAGAGCGTTGGTTCTTTACATGTCTTTTGCTCCGTTATGCCGAACAAATTGCTGTTGTGGGTTCCGATCTCGATCGGCGTGTGACATAGCTATAATATGGTACAAATAATCCACGAGAGATCAATGAAAAAAAGTTTGTCAAAGGGCCAGGTAGAAAGGATTCTTGATTTTGAACCTATGTTGATTCATCTTTTCTTTACTTAATAAGAACTTTGTGCGTGTATAGACAGTGACTATAATGTAGAAATATCTGTGTTTGTAAAACGCCATTGAATGCTTTCGCCAGAGCAGTAATGGGCGCTATACTAAGTTCAATAATCCTAATCCATGTAAAATTTAGCTGTTTCTCTCTTTCTTTCTACTTACCACACAAAATCACTTTAGCTAGACAGTTGTGCCATAACCTTTCTAAATACTCTACAGTGTAGTGTATTATTACAGCACGATCAAAGACATTTTCCTTCCTTCGAGACATGAACTTGCGATTTCTATGTCGATACTGTTATTGACAAAAATGAAATAATATTTTGAATTCCTTCCCCTGAAATGCAACGCTGGTTACTTTGAAAGTATTTTATTGTAGGTATCGTATGGTCGATAAACCTCTAGAAGAGTCTAAGGTTCATCATATTATATTGTACACTACATCTCTGTAAATCAGCCATTTAGTGTACGGTACATCTTATGTTTTTCCTGAATGAATATTGGTTTTAACCTGGTCTATATAAGTTAACAATAACAAATGAATGTGTCAGTGGCAATTCTGAAACATGTATTAGTCTTTGAATGTTAAAGGGAAAGGTTCGCCATTTTTTAGGTTGATTTGGGCCTAATATATGTAAATATATGTCTTTTTTATATGGTAGAGTCTCAAGAAAAGACGAGACGTTTTTATAACTTTTAAAAGCGGATTATTATTTCGATTGTGAACACTAATTTAAGCTTAGCTAAAATATTCTCGTTTCTGAGACTAAGATAAGATTGGATAAACGGGTGTCAAACCCGTCCCTTTATTCTGGAAACCTTTCAACTTCTACATGTATCAAATTCCAACTGCCTTTCGAGGTTTGTGGTTCCGATAAGTCAAATCAGACCAGATTATGATCTCACAATCATACTATTAAAATACATCGTTATCGTTTTGTGTAAAAAATAGAGAATGCTTCATTACATGTATTCGCTTCTTTTATTTGTACCGTATCCTACTGTAGATCTCACAGAACACGATACCTTGTCTTTTCTCTCCTTCTGTTTCAATCCAACCAATCTGTAAAACATAACAAAAAACAGAGCAAATCGATCGTACTGAAAACTGACCAACCTCCAGCAATATAAATGTATATAGATGAAATCAGGAAGAGTTTCGTCCTTCAGAAAGTCGAACTGAACTTATGTTCTTTGTTGATTATCAAGGTTGTATTCAGTGAATGGGATAAATTGTTACTTTGTACGTGAACTGAATGTTGTTGTACGGACGATAGTTTCTTACACTAACGAGAGAAAGACGAATAGGTCAGCCAGCCTTCTTAATTACAATCAATGAGCATATGAATGAGCAATTTATCTATAGGTTCTAGTCGACGTCAACTTGATGTCACTTTGGAATTCGATTAGGAATAGTTTCTGCTTCCCCGAGCAGTTATAAATAGGCTATCCAGGATATTGGAACAGTGTGCGACAAATTACCGTGGAATATTATATCTATTTCATACACTAATTCGATCCGTGATTAATTGTCAATTTATAAGCTTTCACAGATAATCCACTCCATTGCTAAGACAATATCAAACGATTCTAAAGCTCATTAGATAGCATTTATAAGTTCTGGAATTGTTTTCCAAACAGAGCCATGTCTGAAGAGACGCCCACACCTACTTATCTTTTTAAAATAGGAAATGCTCATCGTTCATTTCTTGTAAATTCTACGTTTATGCAAAGGTCACATCCCAAATGGACGTTTCAGTTTAAAATCGAATTTGGTGTAGTTTTTAGTCGGAAAAAATCAGATGTGACAATTTCTTTTATCCAAATGTCTTACATCATTATGGAAAAGTATGGCACGTTTCTGTAGTTAAACCATTAAGCATTTTAGGTAAGTAAAAGTGTCGATTAATATATCTCTGCTATGCCAAATTTATCTTATAGTTGTTTGTAGCATCTGTAACACAGCTTAAAGTAACCTTAAGCGGAATTATACTTCTATGTTTTGACCAAAACTACTTTGGGGACATACCTTTAACACGAGATAGTTATTAGGAATATTCAGATAATCCGACGCCAAAAAGCTACATATACGAAGCGCATTAGTATCTTTCGACACTGAGTACACAATACATGTTTTAATATTGTTCGACAGTGTTATAACTTATCTGTATTACTGCCAAATGCTAATGTTGTTTTTTATGTCTGAAACATAAAATTCCGTTCTATTAGTCGCGATGTACGTATCGCAGTTGTTGCTAATAAGAATATCTATTAATCTGGTAAGGTTAAGTAAAATGTACAAACTAACTTGTTAACGTGATGGTATAAAGCATTAAGCACCATTACTTCACTCACTATATCTAATCACGAAGGCTAATAAATTTACCAAGGGTCAATTGTCTGAGGTATATCGGATGGCTCTTCTATCAAGAAGTTATCTTTAGTCTCTAATGAGGCTAGAATGTGTGAGTGAAAATCGACGAGTTGAGTCCAGTAACGGCACGTGTAGTCATAATTGTTTTCTCTTCGCCTTTCAACCAATCGAAAGTGTTGCATGGTTGAAGCCATTCCCCTGCCAATTCTAGTACATTGTCGCCTCTCCATTCTTACCTCAATAAATGGGTGGTGCCATTTCTTTTAAATTCTTTCTCTAGCAAATCAAAATCAGCGACAAACTTTTATAATCTTCATTTACCTTTCTGATATCTTACAAATAACATTGTTTCGGTGTGGAAAAAGGATTGAATGAAATGTGTTAGATGACAAGTGCTCACATACCAGAAAAAATTGTTCGAATTTACAGCAGAAAATCGACATCTGCAGTTATTCGAACTTGTACAAATAATATAAATTTAGTGAAGTGTGGTTAACGTTTTGTCTGAATACATTGATTGGATTCATTTTGCTTTTTCAAGACGAAAATCGTTAAAACACAAATGTTTACATAACACCAGAAAAATTGGTTGCCTTACAATAATTTCATGTCATACATGTTTGAAGACGTTAGAAATTGGGAGAAAGTGAAACCAATACAATTGTAATTTCTGAAACGTTCAACTTTTTGGTGTGTTTCTGTGATCAAAGCGTGCAATTTTCAAAAGGACTTTTCAAGTCTTCTTTAGTGAAAACCAATAGAATGTGATGAATAAAAACTGTCGTGTGTAACTATTTTCTATAATTGATCTATTTATTTTAAAACAGCTGATTTATCTATATTCCTATAATTGACATATAGCCGAGGTCGTTAGTGATAATTTAAGGATATTCAATTCTAAAGAGTGAACTTTAGAGACAGGTGACTGATAAAGTACAATGGTAGCAGTATGTGCTGTGATATCGATGAATGGTAATTATAAACAGAAAGCCGATGACGTGACGATTTCGGTGTTATGTTTATGACGTTTCTTAACCTTCATCACGAAACCTCTTTTTTTGTCTGAAACTCGAACGTTTTCTTAAGTTAGAGGTTTAATGTGTAAAACTCCTTTTAACGACCAGCAGTTCATCAGAGCTTGTCTAATTTTGCTGTTGATATTTTACATTTTATAGCAGTTTCCTTGACTGTAATTGCCTCTCGGATAAGAAACGTTCTCTTGCTTTTTAATATGGATAATTAAATTAGGAACATTGCTTGCTCTTTACGTGGAATCAAATTGGCCAGAATGATAGATTGGAACTTTGTGGTAGGTAAGACATTGTCTATTTAAAAACTAATCACTGTCGTAAGCTAAATACCTCAGTTTTCTAACGGTATTCTCACATTTCTTCAAGTGCTAATGGACTTTTCAGCAGATCATTAGAGCGCGAGATGGTTTGGTTTTAACTGATTAAAGTTGGAACACATTCTTTTTACTTATTCTGAGTGTTAAAGGATAATTATTAAATAAAATAGATATTAACCTAATTGTGGCAGATATTAAAAATGGGTGATCTATCATATAATAATAGTCTTCCCCTAGGCAGTTTTCTGGATAATTCATTATCAAACATTTCAAAGGAAATACATCAAAATTTAAATAATACCAATATCGAAATGGATTCGAACATCACAATGGGAATATTCAACCCCTTCACAACCGGAGATGGACCTGAAGCCATTTTGGTACCCATAGCGTTTGGAATAATATTTTTAATCGGAATAATTGGAAATGGAACTCTGATATTCACTGTATTATTTAATAAAGTGATGAGGAATGTGCCCAATGTGTTTATTGTGAGTTTATCAATAGGTGATTTATTATTGATATTGGTCTCTGTACCGTTCTCTGCCACTATATTTACATTTAAAGGTTGGCCATATGGTGATTTTACTTGCAGACTTAACTATTTCTTAGAGACCTTATCTCTGGGTGTGTCGGTTTTTACCTTAACGGCGTTAAGTATTGACCGTTATATGGTAATAGTGAACCCAATGTCCAAACATACGAGTAAAACTATGGCCAAGACAGTAGTAATTGCTGTGTTTATATGGTGTTTGGCAGCAATATTAGCAATACCTGACGCTGTGGTTTCACATGTTGAAGATATACCGTTAATGAATATCAGCAAGACTCTTCCTATATGCTTCAATTACCCCACTGATGTACCAGATTACGAGAAGTACAATGTCTGTATCAAATTTATGATATATTTTGCCATTCCATTGGTAGTAATAGCTGTGTTCTATATTCTGATGGCACGTGTGTTAATTAAAAGCGGTGAAATGATGCCATGTGAAGGTAGGGGTGCTAATAATCACCAACGTCAAATTGCTGCCAGAAAGAAGGTGGCTAAGGTTGTGATGTCGTTTGTTCTTATATTCGCCGTCTGTTGGCTACCACGTTATATCTATCTCATGTGGTATTATTTTGACGATTCTCAATTTAATCATTTCTGGATTGCGTTCAAAATTATTGGCTTCTGTCTGACATTCATCAATTCATGCGTCAATCCATTTGCTCTTTATTTTCTTAGTGGACAATTTAGAAAATATTACAATCGTTACTTGTTTCGCTGTATACCAAAAGTCCGTTACACCAGCCTGGAACCGTCTTCCACCATGCACAATTTTAACAGCACTGTTCGTCGTGCTTCCTCTACCACCACTACTATAGTTCAGTCCCAATCCATGTGTTAAACAGATGTTCTTACACTTAAAGAGCAATATTACACCTTCTTTAGAACCACAGCGAAGAACTTACGGCATAATTATTTTGTTATTAAACGAAAACGTTATTAATTTTCTTGGTCTGGGTAGGGAATCATTTCGGTTATCTAGTGCAAGCATAAGAAGTTACTATTTATTTATATGATTGCCCGGAATGATGTGAAAGACTAATAACATGGAGACTTAATAATTTAAATTGTTGATTTTGATGGCGTATTCAATGATAGTTCAGTCAGAATTCTGCAGCCAATTTAACAAATTGTGGCATTGCATTGTGTTTGGAATAAACATTTAACTCATATTTTCCATGTAAATAGCCATTTCATCAGCGTTATTTGAACTTCATTAAATACGCCGAATGTGTCAATTTGTGATCATTTGTGTTAAAATATATATTGTGAAGCAATGGTTATGTTAGAATATAATAGTCAAATTATAAGTCGTTTCTTTGCTTTCTACCATTAGATTTAAAGCACAATGAATTTATGTCGCCGCAAGGACGACTGCATAATCATAATCATAATTGTACTGTTTGCCCAGAAATACACCATTTGTCCATCGAATCCGTTCGTCAACCTTTATAATGACGCGATAGAAGCCTCATTTTTCATCTGATTTCAGTAAAACTTGATAGGTATATAGATGAGATCGGGTGCAACAATGCCAATGTTTCGATGAACAGAATTTGAGTCGTATACCTTGAAGAAGAAAAAATACACCAAATTTGGCTGTTATCGGCAAGTTTTTGAAAAAGGATAAGAACCAGAGCAAAGTTAAATTTCAGGTTTCATATATGAAAGTTATTTTCTTCATAAAATAGCACGTCTATTTTGTAATGATGATTATAGCACTAGTTTTATTATGATACTGATGACATTCGTTATGTATCTGTATATTGATGAAGAATGATATTGTGATGTACATTTTTGTATGAATATTTGCCTAATGTAAATTCATTATGGGTTCAAATGATCATTTCAAAACTTATCTTTAGTAGACGAAACGTTTATATGTCCGTATTAATATAATTCTACCGGAATGTATATAAGCAAGAATACTCAAGGGTGTATCAATTTTGTCTTCAAAGAAGATATGAGATATATATTGCGACGATCATTATTAACGAGAACAGTTATATTATTGTTTAATTCTATAGCCTATACCATATCTTCATATTATCAAGCTATTGCGATCTGTGGGTTATACCTTGACTGCAATAGCTACCTTTCCTGTGAAATACAGCGATTTGATTGGATTGCAGCCTAACGAATACAGCCAATCAGAGCCCTGGACAGAAAAAGTGTAAACATTATGGCTCTTTCGAGGCCTATTGGCAATAGAGTTAGGCCATTTGGAACATACTAAAAGCTTGACCTCTGGTTGTGAAATACCTTTATATTAAAAACGTTATGATCTAGGTGGACAATGTCATATTATTCTAGGTATTATATAAGAAGGTTAACTGTTGTCATACTGACATATTATTGGGTATTTGTATGTAACTTTTCTCTTAATAATTATATAGATCAGTTGGATGTATCCGATTGTTGTTGCTCTCAACGACGTCTATAATGATGTAATCAAGATAATAGAAAATATTAATACCCAAATACTAAGATAAACCTTTTATTAATCTAGTGACAATAATATCAATAGCAGCATTTCTTTTAACCACCCGCTATCTCAGTTCTCCTTTATTCTGATTAATTTATCGTAGAGATTCTAAAGAGACCCTACATTCAGCTAGAATGTATTCTTCATCGTGCGCTGCTTTCTGAAATATTTTATTCTTATTCTGTATTATATCTGTTTGGTTGAGTGTGTTTCTTTAGAATTAGATTTATCGTCCAGGTTTTTCTTTGATCATGATACAGACTGCAGGATCAGAGATATGTCTGTTCATTCCAATCAAAAACACGGATGTATGTTAAATATGTGAATATCTACAATAGGTAAATAGACGAAAACTAAGATTCTGTGAATAAAATGGACTTTTACGTTCCACTTTTCGGGTACCATGCAGGTTCAATGACGGAAAATTCGCATTGACATAGGCACCATTCTTGCACAACCTGTAGCATACAATAGACTATGATCATTTCAAAGTGTAATTCATTATGTACGATTTGTTCTGTCAATCCGTGCGATCTGTTTTCAGGAAAGCAGGTTGAAATATTCGACTTTTGCGGAGATCGAAATAGGGTATAACCGCTATGCCACCACAGTTCTCTTATCGACAGCATACCGTGAAAGGCATTGTTTGCACCATTCCAATTGTCAGTCAAACGTCACTGTTTCCTGCAATACCCCCCAAAAAAATGTGTTCGATGACGTCACTAATGACGTAGGCCCTGATACACATCCCCCCTCCCACTTCCCTGGAAAATTCTGTGGCCTTCCTCGGCTACCTCACCTGATGTTTCCTAGAAACACCATTGTTCCTTCGCAACACTTTCATACTACAGATTCTTCAATAATAGAAATACGCAATCGTTAAATGATAAAACTCCCCTTGGTATTAGCCTAATTTGAAAAAAAAACGTATGTCTATAAAAAAAATAAACTATATTTATGAAGTAATTGCTGTCACGTGCGTCACTGTTGTCAATAATTGAGTCTCTATTGAGATCTTTCTCATGACATCATGTAAAACGCTTCAATTCATTTGTTATATTTTGACATGCTCATCTAAAAAATATTCTTTTATGCGACTTTGATCAATGAATTTCTCGCCTAAGAACAAAAAGTTGAAAGGTTTTTAAATATTGCCTTCAATAATATTAACGTATTTTTCATAAGATGGTTTAGAAGCAATGAATGGATTAAGTGCACATTGAACGACAAGTTAGATAATGAAAGGCATGTAACATTTATTTGTTTCAGAAATGAACAATAAACGCAATAGATATTTATTTTGTTGCTGTTGTAAATAAATCCTATTGAGAGATGGATATAATTTTCAAGTTAATACATGGCAATTACTATTTTTGATGTCAATCGCTTTGAAGACAATAACGTCATAATGGAATTATAAATGGGACTTATTAACATTTTGTATTTCGCATATCGTATTTCTGAGACAATGGTTTAGTTTTTTTAAATCATTTAATAAATCTTAAAATTCATTCTTGGACCAGCACACGGATCTTACGTTTCAGTCAATATACAATTTTATACATTTAGGCGGGTAAAGATAGGCTCTGATAAGGGGAACACAGAACAAATTACAAGATTTTGTTTCTCACTTGAAATAAGTTATATACATGTGTACGATATAATATACATGTACATACCAATGCAAGTTTTAATTTTAGCAGGAACAATACTTTTTCATTCACTATACGAAAGATAATTCCATCAACATATTTTAAATCAAGTAAAGGAATGTTACAAAAACAATGGACGACAGTATAAATTGTTATAACATGTATGCAGTGATTTTCTACACTGTTATTTTTCAGCTTTTTCTCGGTTTTACTCAAAACATATTCTGAGTATCGTATCGTATCGTATTTGCTGTAAGCGTTAGTGTAACTTTAAGTTAGTGGGAATCCAAAAATTATTTGAATTTGAACTTTTCCGATACACACTCTAAATGTAACTATTGGGAAACAAGAAAATACTTTAAATTTAGCCGCATTATCGGGTTTAGTTACACATGTAGACAGCGAACAACTTTGTATTGAAATATGATTTCATATATTCTGGTAGATCTAATAAATTTCATTACGTGAAAGTTAGGGTAAGAGTATGGATAAATTGCGATCTCGTACTAATACTCATTTATATCTAACTAATTTATTAAACCCGTTAACAGACAAACCATCGTAGCAATGACGAGAAGCCATTTCTGAAATACGAGTGTAGGAAGACTGAAAATAATGTTTAAGCTTGTGCAAATGGGTTTGATACATGTTTCACCTTGGACTTGTAGAAGGAAAGTCGAAATGACATTTTGTATAACAGGAAATTTAGTCGCAATTTAGTCGGAATTTATTTGATTCCTGGACCATGTCGTTTTCAAGAATAACTATTGTCATTAGTCTACTGGTAAGCAGAATGACAACGCCTACGAAAAAACTGAAGAAGATAGCAGAATTCGAAAGAAGTTCTCACAAACCAAATATAACACATCCACAGAGTCTGCATAGCTCTGTCCTGACACAGTCGTGTAATTATGATTGTGCCTCGCCATTGTGATTGCGCAGATGTGTAGTTATTGTCGATAACAAAATCTATATTTTCACAGAACAAAAAAGTATTGTTTTCTTTTTCAGTGGTTCTGTGATCAATTCATGCGACGTAGGAGGAATATAACATACTATTTTCATTCAAATTCTTCTCAGTTTCATCAGAATATTACATTAATCTTTTAAATATGTTATAAAATTCCAGCAATATTTCAGGAATATAATACTGTTGGTGCTACAATTAATTTAATTAGAGTAATAGAGATCTGGCACTATCATAGATACTTGGTTAGTATGCTCGATGAAATTTATTGTAAGTCAATTGTGCATTAAAACAGAAGCTATTAAAGAGTATCATGACATTTCTGACGTGCGTTACATATTAAGTTTTCATTTGCAAAGAGACACATTGTGGTAAAATAACCAACGCACATCTTAATGGGATCGGCTATTGGCTTAAATTATTTTCTTTACCAGATGATAAAGCTCTTTGTCAGTTATCCATAGAACCAAGAAAATAAAATCTGACATCCGGTGCAAACGTCACTTTCGGGACAGTTCTGACATGCTTGCGTGCATTTATTGCGATTGAAGTCATGATCATGATACTATAGCATGACAGAAATGGTCACTGATTACCTAACCATAAGGTATGCCTTGATTGTCGTATTGCAGATTTGCAGATGGCCATTTTGGCGATTTATGGTTTATATTATGATAATATATACCTTTTTAAAATTTATGCTATCAGCGCTATAGCTAAATACATACAATGCATTT